AACACGGTATACGTGCTCAATATTGGCTTGAGGAATTTCAAGCACTTTTGCCACAGCCTCTCTAAAAGCAGACGGTGATAGCTTTCTCCAAGGGTATTCATTTCCAAGGCGAAGAAACAAGCGTTCATCTTTGGTGCCTGATTGCGTTGGGACGGTCTGTTGTGCTCAGCTAAGGTAGCCCTGGCAGGTAGCGCATGGAGGGTGAGTGTGTCATCAAGGTACCTCAGGCATGGACAACTCACATGACATGTTTGGCGCATTTGTTCAGGCAAGGCACACTGCATGAGTAAGCATGATGGGCATATGATTCGCTGGTAAGCGAGTCCATGGGGTATAAAAGGGGAGTATTTCCCACCGTAAATCAGAATATATACCCATAGAGTCATCTACAATTCACTCTCGATAAAACATCATATCTTAGCCGTCAAACGCAAGTGTACGTTCCCCATTTCATATACTAAGTAAAACACGGTCGGGTTTTTTGAAGGTCGCGTCGAGTTTGCCGCCTTTGGCATAGCCTGCGCGACTTTTGTAGCTGCCGGGGGAGTCTTTATACCGGTGCGGGTGATTGAGGCCCAAGTGGCTTTGGCATGGGAGACTTTGTCATGAGTCACTTTACTTTGTGGCTCATCTTGCTTTTTGGCGGCACGTTCTATAATCTTGCTGCCAGTAGCCTGGGTTCCAGGGCGCGAGGGAAATACTGGGAGGACTGTACCCGATCCCGCGATCATGAATTGAGCTATTGCAGCTCTAATGTAGAATTTCATAGAGTCTATAAATTGAACACTCGACCCTTTGGATAGGGGGGAGAGAGCATTCTCGACACCGTTAATTGCAGCGGTGCAAATTTTTACATTTTCCGCAGTTTTTGCGGCCCGGCGTTCCTCAGCCTCAATTAAGGCTCTGAGTTCGGGGGGGCATTCCTCCGTCTGCCTGCCTTCATTTCCATCGTGGGGAGAAGGATTCTCTTCTGTGGTTCCTGGTGTATGTTCCAGAGGGTTCGGGGTAGATGCTGCACCTTTTGCCTTGTTAGCATCTGCAATCGCAGCCCGCCTCATAGCCGGCACAGCGACTTCAATGAGAGGAAGTATATGCTGTCCAGTAGTCGCTGTCCCTAAATTGTTGCAACTCGTCGCTGCATTTTCAGCTCCGGTCGCATCTGGCTTGGAGTGAATTGAGTTAGGTAGTCTTTTCAGATTCTTAAGAATCTTGTCAATGTCAAAGTTACCAACATCTATCATATTGCAATCTATGGTACTTTCGTCGATTAATTGGTCGATGTTCATCTCTTGAACGGCAGTCAGTGGGCCCAACCTGACGCTTGCTTTCTGTCGAGCAACGTGTTTGAGGTGCTTGCGGTTATCTACGATGTCTTTCGCCCGCGATGGCTTATTGCGAACTGGGGGCATATTGGTAGCCTGCCAGTCGCTCACAAATTTTGAATTAAGGGCGTACGATATTACGATATCGAGAGAGGGAGGGAGAGGGGGAAAGAGTGAATATTCGAAAATTCGAATTTCAAAAAATGGTGGGTGTGTGTGTTTGTGTTTATTGTGCTACTTGAGTCTATGACTATCTAGTACATTGGGCTCCTCTCTGACCCAGGCCACACCTTGTACAGTGCTCCTATCCTCTTTTGTTACTTGAAAGATCATTGATATATTCCCCTTGATGAATAGCCATTCACCTCAGTGTTTACCCGTGGAATTCAGCCACCTTTTCCACGGAACCTTCTATCCAAAAAAAATAAAAATGTTAGCAATGGAAACTGCGTGCGCGGGAAAAAGTCTCAAAAAACCTGCAGCCCCAGCCAGGCGAGGCCTAGACACCGGGACCACATGAGGTGCGCATATTCATCTATATCTCCCTTCTTTGTAACAGTCGAGGTCGACTTGATCCAATCCATCATCTCCGTATCGGGTGCTGGGTACGCTCCGGAAACTCATCGGATGGCTTTTCCTCCATGATCAAGGATGGGTGACGAGTAGGGCTCCGACCCTACCATCTGATCTGATCGTGGTTAGCTTCATGATAGTGGTGATAGGGGAATGTGTTGAGAGATGAAGACGATACAGACCGCGAAAGCGATTGGGAATCCTCTTCGAAGTGAGGACTTTGTTACTCAATCTCGGCTCTACAGACTCTACAGTGAGAGCTGGAGGTTCGTAGGGGACACCACTGACAGGTGTTGAGAATAGTCCCCCATTCCAAGCAGAGTCTGGATAGCTTAAACACGTATCCCACTCGAGACAGGAGATCGCTGGTTCAAATCCGGTAAAAACATAACCACATTTCTCGCGGCGCTGGTATACATGGATGACGGAGGCATACTTGGATTACTAAAGGTTTTGAAATTCCCTTTGTTGGGTACTTACGGAGGAGGGCCGACTATTTGTGTTAGCAAACGTACGTCATAGTGGTATTTGCAAGTGAAATGCAGAGTATAAGTGTCTCTAGCGTCAAAGGGGTCATACGTTATCTATATATAGCACCAGACATATATCATAGCTATATAGCTGCATACACATTAAATGATTTAAAAAAATGCGTAGTCCACGATGATTAACCCAACATCTGATAGGCCTTGCGGCAAACAGAATTTGAAAAGAGCCCGACCAGCTATCCACTGGTTTTAGCGTAGTGCCGAAGCAAAATATCAACAGCGAATGTTACTGTGATGGGCGATCAATAAAACAATATAGTAAAGGAATCATCAAACTGGGGTAGTTTGGAAGCGATCAATATAGAGTTTAAGGTGTTAAGTCTACGAAGTTTGGAGTTACTTGTTTCGGAAAAAGGCGTTTCACTTGGTTTGTAGCAATGGGAACTCTATATTTTCTCACTAGAGATGTTTCGTTCCAAACCATGAGAAACTCGGTTCATGGGGGAAAGTTAGGGACACATAGAGCATTTGCCAATTTCTAGACGTACATAATCTAGATAGGGTTAGAAATTGTCAAGGATTTCTAGGAGGAAATATCTCGAAGAACAAGTGTACAATTTCGGACAAGAATTTATTGATAGTTGTGTGATATCGAACTCTCTTCTCAATATGAATTAATATGTAATGCTCCGTTGACTTAGTTTAACATATACAAATAAGCCAATTCTTAAATACAGATTCCCGAGGCTTTAGTAATCCCGAACTCTCAGTGATCTAGCTACAACCAGCCACTCTATTACCGCATGGTATCATTTCCTAGCCACTGCATTTCAGATACTACTGAACCTCGTTTCTCCTAGCTGAGCTTAATCGTATGCAATAGAAACAGGCAAATTGATCTTGATGATCAAACTAGAAATCTAAACCTTCATACATACGAAGTCTAGATTTCAAACAGATAGTATCAGTAAGACAAATGGCTGCCAAGAATTAATTGACACTTTTTACTTTTACTTCATTCATTATTCAATTGACTTGTAGAGTCTAACAAGAATGGTGGCCGATAACTGTCTATTTTCTACGTACATCTCGGAACTGTCCACCGACGGGAGGCTACTTAAGGTGTCCCAACTCCCAATGCGCTAACCTCACTATCTGTTCTACTACACCATATCCTTGATATTCCGAGTAGGCTCGTCATAGCGAATCTGGGTCGTATCAACCCATGATTCCATTTGAGACTTGCTGCAACAATATCTTGTTTCTATATTTGTTGCAACCCTGTATTTGTATGGCCAAGTTGGATATCACTTTTGATAGCGAGGCTATTGACGTAAATGATAAGTGTCCGTGCGACAGTCACTAGGAGATAGGGGCAGCCTGTAACAGTTACATACCCATTCACAGGTACTATAATATCATACGTAATTAGTCATGGCGCATTATTACTGATTTGTGAATTCATAAATTCACGTTCGAGAGGGAATGCTCTCGAACAACGAATTAAAGCAGAAAGTGCAGCCTGCACGGAATTAGCCTGTTGGTTATTTAGACGCCAAATATTCAGATGCGGTCTAGCTATAGTAGAGAGAAGAGGACATCTAATATAGAGCTTAGCACTCAATATATTCAAGGGCAGGAATACAGCTTAGTACGTCGGAGCCGACCGTGAAAGATACCTTTACAAAGGCGTACTTAAGTACCTTAGATTTCTCTAGCACGAAGGAGTAATTCAGCAAGGCACTTTTGTGATTAAATTACCGATAGAATGTAGTAGAGTCTACATGTCTAGAAGGGTCATTACACTTGACTTCTGTATTAGATGTAAATTTTTAGAAATTGAAACAAGAATATTCTTTCCTTTCCCACAGCTTTCTGAGCTTTGACCGGGCCCGCCAGTGATATGGTATTTCAAAACTTTCGTTGAATCCCAAGTTGGCTCTCATCCACTCTATCGTCGCACGCCACCTGAGTATGGTCTGGTTATCATGATTTACGAAATGAACCTGTTGCAGGTTCCTTCCTTCATCATCTCCGTCTCATCTTTGAGATTGGATCACATCGGTAACGGATCCATTTTTTTGATGTTCCAGATTTTCCTCTCCTGTTTATATGGTACTCAGTCCTGATGAAGAGTCCCTACATTGTTTCCAATTGCATTTATTTCTCATGAGATTCATGATTTGTTATGAGAGAACTTTCGATTAAAATTAAAGCATTAGAGACATTACTGATTTGTCCGGCAAGCCTTGGTTGTATAGGCTCACGCTTGTAGGAAACATAAGAAAACGCAAGCCATCAAATTCTTTTCGTCATCATCTTCCTTGATTTAAGTCAATCCTCTCCCAATCAAGCAAACATGTGTTCGGGAGCAATGAACACGAAAGATATCTATTGTGAAAAGCCCCAGTTGTACTCCGAGATTTCTAAATACTAAAACATCCAAAATTTATTCTCCACTTAAAGTATTCAGTTCTTATCGTAATCTGAGGTCTTGTTGAAAGTGTCGATAGTCTAACAGCTGAATGAAGTAAAAGTTGAGATTTCACGGCGGACCAGTAAAGGCTCATAACCTTCTTAACGACTGCATAAAAGATGGCAATGATGGCGAAGATGTTTACTCTTCTTCGCTCTCGTCGCTCTCATCTGCCATTGCTTCGGCTGACTCTTTTAGAAGCTCCTGTTCAAGTTCGGCCTCCAGTGCCAACTCCATGTCTTCATCGCTCATTTCGAGAGATGAGTTTGCTCCAGGACTAGGATGCTTCAAATCTTCTGCAGTTTGTTTCGATACCTGATAATCACCTGGGGCGATATCCCTCTCCTCATCGCTATCTTCTTCGCTCAATTGCCGTTGATGTAATGGCGAGGCATCATACTGCCCATTGACAGGGCTCTGAGCACCGGGAAACTCGATGGTCAGACCATCGTCGGATTCTTCTTCGACTTGGTCAATTTCGGGTGATGGATCGGGCTGCGTTCGGTACTTTGGTTTTTTGGCTTTCTGCTGGTCAGAGTCCTCTGTGGCGGCTTGTGCTCTTTTTAAGCTCTTCTTTGGTAGAGCAGCAGGTTGGTGGTTAGTAACCGACTCGTGTTTACTGTTTTGCGTATGTGATCCAGTAATATTTTTTGACCTGGAAGAATAGACTCTCTTCATATCAAAGTTGGAATCTACTCGATGTAGTACAAATTGTTCCTTGTCTGCATCGAAAATCAGGATGTACTGTTCGTGGGCCGAACTTCTCTCTCCTTGATAAGAGAGGTTGTCCGAACTTTCGGGAAAAGATAGGCTGTAGTTGTTCGTTTTTTTTCCCGATGGTGCTAGTCGGCGAGGTCTTGTTGAGAAAGAGTCTATCGCAATTTTCTGACTATCTTATTTCTAGTCAGCACGCTGTGAACATTGAACAAAGGTAGAATAGATTACAGTTGACACCGGTATACAACTCACTCGTCGCTCTTCCGAGTAAGGCATCACTGAGTACAATGGGATACTCGCCAAATCCAAGATTCATCGTGCTAGTCATGACTGAGGAAAGGGAAAAGATGGAAAATGCAGGTGTGGGAGAAGAATGTGAATAGTAGATAAATTAGTTGTTGAAAAGTAAAGAAAATGAGAGCACGAACGGAGGAGCGAGGGAACAAGTATTAAATAGTGACCTGACAATTTAGCCCTTGGTGTAACCTCAGCTGCATCCGTTCCGCGACAAGTTAAGTACATAATTGGTCCGCTGACGACAAACCAACAGCTAGCTTCACAACTCAGATGAGCTAAGCATAATATCTGTAGAGCGGTAGGGCCAATGCGTTTGATTGGCTGAAATTGAGCAATTGTGCCAGTTCATATCTTGGATGTTTAATTATATCGGGAAATACAAGGGTCTCCGTTCACGACGTTTAGATGAGTGGAGCGTATAAATAATCACGGTCATCACCTACAACATCACCACTGACTTTAGCTAAGTCTTTTTTAATGGACATGGGTTGATCAGATACAGATTCAATGTATGGCGTTGTAGCTGCGAAACCTCATATCAATTTTCCTCCAGCCCAAAAGAATCTGGTGAGTGGGTGAGTGCGTTTGTTTATTGCCCTACTTGTGTCTATGACTATCTAGCACATTGGGCTCCTCTCTGACCCAGGCCACACCTTGTATAGTGCTCCTTGCCTTTCATGTTTCTTAAAAGACTATTGATATATTGCCTGTGATGAATAGCCATTCAGCTCAGTGTTTACCCTTGGAATTCAGCCACCTTTTCCACGGAACCTTCTATCCAAAAAAAATAAAAATGGTAGCAATGGAAACTGCGTGCGCGGGAAAAAGTCTCAAAAAACCTGCAGCCCCAGCCAGGTGAGGCTTAGACACCGGGACCATATGAGAAGCGCATATTCATCTATATCTCCCTTCTTTGCAACAGTCGAGGCCGACTTGATCCAATCCGCCATCGCCGTATCGGGTGCTGGGTACGCTCGGGAAACTCATCGGGTGGCTTTTCCTCCGTGATCAAGGGTTGATATTGAGTAGGGCTCCGACACTACCATCTGATCTGATCGTGGTTAGCTTCATAATAATGATGATAGTGGAATGTGTTGAGAGATGAAGATGATACAGACCGCGATAGCGATTGGGAATCCTCGTCGAAGTGAGGACTTTGTTACTCAATCTGGGCTCTGCAGACTCTACAGTGAGAGCTGGGGGTTCGTAGGGGGCACCACTGGCAGGTGTTGAGAATATTCCCCCTAAAGAGAGGGCTGACGACGCGTATAAAAATGCACACTTTTACTATTTTAAAGGTCAACCAGTTGAAAGCAAAGGCTATTGCCCAATTCCTGTGGGGAATGGAGGCTGCCTGTAAGTTAGAAGCTTTGGGGCTATCAAGCGTGCCGTATTATTGACACACAACATCACACAAGATATTTCTTAGTTTGAATTTGATGGTTACTTGAATGAACAAGCTTTACAATTGCAATAACTGAGAGGTTATTACATCCTTATAACACCATATGTAAAAAGGCGGCACCATTTATTCATAGGAAAACAACTTAAATCCAGCCTCAAACTCCACTGTACATATTGGTAGTTTGGAGCCATAAGGCACCCGCAACCCACACCATCACAAAGATAAGCTTATCTCACGCTCCTCATATTCTAATCCACTTGCGAGCTCATCATTATTAACGATTTAAAAATGCACAAGAGGCGTTGCACCCGCCCCATAAGCTGGCATGACTGGACTGCCACGTTCATATTTGGGACACAATTTGTCATTCACGCCCATATTTTGTCCATCAGCTACTTGAAATACACCAACCAGGCCACCATAATCAGTGAGTTCGTAGTAATGATATTTATTTCCTATACCTCTGGTTATTAATGATAAAAATAATCTAAATAATATTACGCACCATGTTTCTAGGGATCAGGTACTGTTTTAATGTGCGACCAATACAAATTGTAGTGTCCGTCAGTTCCCCTCAAGTTTCCGTTGTATTTCCGACTGGCTAGAAAATTTGAACTGGTTTCCGATTGTTTTATATGTCCCAGAAAATATTTATGGACAGGACTTATTTCGTCCAAGGTAATCATGTAATTGCTTGGACACTGAAAGTATTCACTACAATGCGCCACAGATATGGCTGAGATGAGCAAGGTGCCGAGGTAGAGTAGCGATTGAGAAGTGCGCATATTGAGGAATGGTAGATTTTCAAAGGGATAAAGTCAGAATAAGAGGAATAAGGCGAGATAAGCAAACTGAGGTGCAATTTCGGGTGAAATTGATCAAAAGAAAGTCTGAGATGAGCTTGGTGAGAGAGATATAGTGAGGAATACTTGTATTCGTATATGCATCATGGAAGAAACGATCCAAGCCGAGTCAGCGTCCAATGTAGTTGACAAGTCAAAAGTCTCGGCATAGTACAAGTTTCCATGGAAAACTTTGTTCGTTTTCCTTCGAAGCAGGTAGGCCTTAATCTCCCTCTTCACTTCACCGGACTCCTCAATTTCTTCTTCGGTCTTTCCTTAGCCCCAGGCCGTTGCATATTTAGGCAGGATTCATTAATAGAATCAACATGCGCACCATTCTCCCTCTGTTTTCTGAAAGTTTTACTGCTTTGGCACTCTTACTATCATTAATAAATACTAATTTCAGTTAAAGCTGCCTTGAGGCCAAAGGCGAGAGAAACAGATTCCTTCGCAGTCGATTATGATGGTGAAAAGATAATACTGTTCTGATGCAATTACTCAATTTCCGGGCTAATTTCACGACATCAGTCAGAGTGGAGTATAGGGTCTTCACCCTTCACCCATGCATGGACTCCACTCGAGGCGAAAGACGCCGTGATCCCTAAAGCTATCCAGCAAGCCATTGAGTTCCAGCTCTTAAATTTCGCACGAGAGATGGCCTTGCATGCTAGTCGACCAGATTCAAATAGATTGGCTGCGTGGTATTATCTCAGACAAACTGAAACCAAGAGGCCTGCCACAGGAACTTCTTTATTTTTACAGCGTAGTCCTTTTTTTGCGCAAATAAGGATGCTATGGCTCTATTGTTCTCCAAAGCTGCATGTCGCTTGCCATCGTTGAGTTTCAACTTCTGCCCTGACTAATCCCATTCGGGGCTCAACCCTCCTTATCATACCACCACTCCGAAGGTCCTGCATATTAAAATTCGTATGTCATAACAAGTCTTCCAATGATTACCCATTGTGTCGGGGTCGAGTAGATCAGAACCAGGGACTGAAACAATAACAAGATTGACCATTCAACAGAGAATACATTCGGTCATGAAAGTTGATGTAATTGTAACGGCTAAGAAGCCGGTATTTTCCTGTAGCCAGTAATGGCAAGTACTGGCGTATAACCACCAGGGGTTGGGCCGGCGCAATAGCCTGCAGAACATACCAGAACTACTGTCGAAGGTACTAGATAAGATTCGACATGAACAAGACTGTAACTGAGACTTGGAGAAGCTACTAGAAACCATATTCTCAGAGTTGCAACTGGAATTATCTAGAAATGAACTGACCTTAGATGGAAGGGCTTGGAGTGTAGTAATCTGTATAAATACCTGGCTAAGTATCTGTAGCTTAGTTCTACATAGTTGAATTGTTAATATACCATCATCCATACAAATGCTCCCTGCTTTCTATAGTTGATCTGTGACAGTAATGAAAGATTTGGAGATAATTCTCTACTTTAGGAGCACATAATCAGCGTGACATTGGGTCGTGTATCTTTAGCTGGAGAACAATGAATGAATGAAAGTTTATTTGTGACGGGCACAAGCCCTGCACTCAAAGAGCATGACACGGAGAAGACCTGCTTCCCCCTCGACTATGTACGACAATAACTCAGTCTGACATTTGGACTACTCATGTAGTGGGTGCATTTGCTGATACCACTCGAGACCTTGGTGCTAAGGAGTTTCACCCTTCCCTCAACCGTTAATATCCACCAAAGGGAAAACATGAAAAACCTTTGGCTACCCTAACATGCCTTTGCCATGTTGTATATAGCCTGTTGGAAATAGCGCGCAATGAAATGGGCGCAATATTCAGGGAACGAAAGTGGAAGTTGACTAAAGGGTGTCGTGTTCGGATTACAGTTAAAAGTGTGGGAGATGTGCGCTACAAGTACAAGTGTAAGCGACACAGAGCTAAAGCCACAGCATAAACGAGTGCGGCGCCATCTAGGCATCGAGAACCCCCAGTAACCTCCTTGCGCCCACGCCATACAGCCGCTCATATGTCCAATAGGTAGCCTGAAGCGCTACCATAGTACCTACTCCAACCTCTTAAATACACACGAGGTCGTGTCGGGAACCTAGACGAAATGGAGGGCCCGTACGTCCACAACACTCTGTGTCTCCATTTCCAACATAGCCGCCGCGCGAGATATGGCCTCACAGTCCTCTCTTTCTCGAGTGAAGTAGGTGTTCAGGCTACCCAGACTTTCATTCGGTGAGATGACCAGGAGGCGGACCAAAACACCTTCCATCGGTGCCTATTTTTAGAGTGTCGGTTGCACTATCCAAAATCGTTGCTTCTGCATACATAGACAATCCTAAGTCGAAGACACTCGAAAAATGTGCGTCCCAGCATGCCCATTTGTGACCTCTTCACTCATTCGTCCCACGTCCCGGCTGCCTGTCCTCCCTCAAGATGTGAAGCCCCATTAGAGCAACGGTCCCCCATATACCAAGACCCGAGCTTTGTGGATTATGACTTGAATTCCTCCTCGCGGGTATACATAGCATCGTAAATTTGAAGTGGGAGATGGCTGGTTTTTGATGAGGCAAATGCCCGATTGCAATTGGAGTAACGTCATTATCGGTATTTGAGGCGAGGTGGTGTAGTAAGGTTGAGGTGGAGGACCCGCGTGAGTACGATAGGTCAAACATTTGTCAATTCGTCGATTTTTGATGTGCTTGAGGTTGCTTTCGACTTCGATTCGGATGCGATTCTTCTTGGCTATCCCAGATATGTAGAGCATACTGAGCGGTTACACCGGCACCACTAGAAGGTGAAG